CTATTATTAACAATATTGATAACAACAATAACATTAGCCATAATCCACAATCATAGACTGTATCAAACATTACTAATTCTGGAAAGAAATAGATGACTAATAATCAAACACAGATAACATTTAACAATATGTGTACAACTATTGACAACAATCCAATTGCAACACAATTACTTTATGGTACAATAATTGAATCATTGATAACAATAATATTAATAACAATCTTATATTGTTGCTGTAAACATCAATGCTATAAAAAGTGAATGAACAAAACCATCCCTGGAGCAAATCAATACCTTGAACAATCCGAAACATCAATCTGTTGTTAAACAAAATAATTAATTAAATAATCTAACCTTATATGTCAAACAATAATTATCAAAGACCACCGCTAAGACCAATTGCACCCTTTAATTATCATCAAGGGATACCAAGAGTAATCACACCAAGAGTACTAACAGTACCTCAACAAAGACCAGTAATACCCTACGTACAATATCGAAGGCCAAATATACCAAGACCATTACAACAAATACCGATTGATAATCAACTACAACAACAGTTAAATAACCAATTTGGAATAACACCAAGACCTGTTATACCATATAACACAGCTCCAAGAAGACCACCTGTAAAACCAAAGAAACCTAAAGGATTACAACTTCTCAAAAAGAAATAAATAACAGATAGTGACAATAATAATAATACACTCTTAGAAGTATTTGGTGGAATAACTACAATATTAGTAATATTAGGAACAGTAGCATTAATACTTATAATTGCAAAACTTAAACAACTTAAGAAAAGAAAACAACAAGCGAAGGATCAAAACTTATCTCCGTACACCCAAAAAGAAGCAATACAAAAAACTATACCAAATATACCATATATCAATCAAACTTTTGGAACAAACTATTAACAATAGTAATTTATGTCAATAATACAAATATCAGTTACACCATCAATCGTACTCAGCACAATAATCAGTACTATAACTGCAACATTTACACCAACATCAACACCATATATAACTCAAACACAAATACCAGGATACCTACAAAATACAAACGTAATCGACACATTCATAGGAGAAGTAATATTCATAATAGTAGTAGTAATAACTATAATCATACTAATCTGTAGAAATAAAAGTCATCAAAACGAACTAAAAGTTCTTAAACAAGATTTTGAAAATCAAAGAATAGTAAACAACATTCACGCATTACAAGAACAAAGTGGATAATCAACAAGAAAATACCTTAACGATCATAACTAGTGATCATACAGTATCAACATTAAACGTATCAATAACTTGGATGCACAACATCATTATAGTATTAGCAGTATCAGAGAAACCATTCATATATCTCAACCAAACTATACAACTCACTATAGTATCAATAGCAATAATAACAACTATATCCATAATAGCAAACACTATTATAAGAGCAAAAGAAGTAACTGCATTAGTAAACCATCAAAAGAAACTGAATGAATTGCCCAGATAATATTGAAAAACTTAAAAAACTTATAGTAAAAACAACAAACTATAAAGGAATAGTAACCAAAGTATTAGAAGAAAAACCAAAAACACTTAAAGAAGAAAAGAAAATTCCAAAACAAATTAAAATAAAAACAGAAGTATCACCAGTACTTAAACAAAGCCTAAAACTAACAGTATCTCAAGCAACAGATCTATAGAACTCAAAAAGAAATTTAATCAAGGAACACTACCTATAAATAAGTTACCATACTTAACAACTAAAGCAAAACAATATAACGAACCACAAGAGTTCATAGAAAAAATATTAGATAAAGCACCATATTTATCTAAAAAATAATTAATGAGCTACGGAGAAATTGGAAACGAAACGTATATAAAAGTCTTCCAAGAATATTTTAACAAATATCCAAACCTACCATCAGACGAACATAAAATAAAACTACAAGAAAAACTAAAAGAATTTGATCAAAAAATTGAAGAATATTTAAACGGAAACTTGATAAACAAAAAGAATCCCATACAAGAAACAAAACGAGTCTATAACTATAAGAAAAAAGAGTATAGAGAACAAGTCTTCAGCTATATTAAAGAAGAAGAAATAAATCCAGAAAATCTAACTGACAAAGAAATAACAACATACCTAGTATACTCATTAGTAACAGCAGACAGATCAAGAGTCAAAACAAGTTTAGAAATTATTTCAAGAAAATCATTCAATGTTAGAAACTGGTTAAAACATACTCAGTATACCTATCAAGGACAACTGTCAACTATATTACCTGAATAATGGCAGCAATAATAGAATTTGAACCACCAAAAAACTTAGAAAGGCTAACATCCTTAATATCAGAATTTGATGAAGCAATTGAAAAATATAGAGAATAGAGAAATCAATTAGAAAACATATTCAAAGCATTAAAATTAGGAGATCTAATTATATTTGGAAAATACTCTGGAACACCTAAAAAAGGAAACATATTAAGAGGAAGAGACTATGTCTCAATAGCAAATAGAGCAAATGAATATAGATGGAGTACCGAAATAATGCAAACAGTATTTGCAATAGTGAGAACAAAATTAAGAAAAGATGCACTAGAAGTATTTGATACAGAAATAGCAACTATAAATTGTTATTTTAGATCTAACCTAGATAATGCAAATGATTTAAAAGATGCGGAAAATTATCCAATAAGAGGAGTAAATTACTTACAAGCAGCAGGAGCATGGCATGCCTCTACAACAGCAAAAGGAACAAGAATAAACCCACATGTTACAGATGCAACACAACAAAAAGGATTTAGAGACGTATTTGATGAAAACTTTACAAGAGATTCAGTACAATCATTAAATCAAAAAGAATTTCTTAAATTCAATTTCTACAAGAATCTAGATTGGAGCGACGATTCAGGATTCAGAAAGCAAGTTAATCAATATAAAAAACTTAAACAATTGTCAAATTGGCAATGGGCTCCAAACTTCTTTGGAGGAAACTACATGTACTTAGTAGAAAGAATGCCTAAAAATATAGCTCAACAGATTACATTAACAAATCCAGTACCAAATAATGAAGAAGATTTCTTCAGAAGAGCCGATACTCTGTTTAGAGCAACAAGAATAACAATGAAAATATCAGAAAAATCCAAAAATGAAAAAACAAATTATTATTCCCAAAGAACCCAAAAAATAAATAATGTACAAACAGAACAACCTCAAAAAGGAAAATGCTACTCATATGGACAAATAGGACACTTTGCAAAAGAATGCCCAAGACGAAAAGGAAAAGAAGCATATAATAGAGTACAGTCAACTTACAAAAATTATAATGGAAGACAAAAGAAAACTTTTGTCAAAAAATATTGTTCATATTGTGGAAAAGATAATGGATATCATACCAAAACATGTCCAAACAATAATGCCAATTATTACGAAGGAAAAAGAGCAAAAGGACCAACACCTATGGTTCATAAATATAATAACTTCAAAAATAATAAAGAAAAAGGAAGACCTCGATACAATAATAGAAACAATAATGGAAGAAGACCACAAAACAATACAAGAAAATCTTTCACAAGAAGAAGAGTTAACAACTACAAAGAAGAAAAACAATCAGAAAAAGTATATAATTCTGAAAGAAAAGAAAGAAATGACTATAAAGAAAGAAGTTCGTACAAAAATGACAAAAGAAAAGTAAACCATTATAATGAAGAAAATGAAGAGTATAACAGTGATAAAGAAATAGTTCATCATACCAAAGTTAAGGAAAACCTTGACAAAATACGGTATTTCAACTAGGGAACCTGTGTAGTACTCAGGACAAAATCCCAAAGAAAATAGGCCAAAGTAGTAAACTACTTAGTACTAAAGAATATTATAATACTATAACATTTAAAGAAAGTATATATAATATACAATGTATCAATGATGAAATAAATAAAAAATCGCAAAACGATCAATATAACAAATATTCTGCCAAACTATTATCAAATGAAATGTATCAACAAGCCCAAGAAAATCCAGAATATTCTTACTTATTAAAACAATATTACTTTTCAAAAGAAGCACATAAAGCTCAAGAATTTCCTAAAGGCAAAAAATCATATGAATTTATAGCATTAATGAATGATAAACCAATTAAAGTACTCATAGACGAAGGAGCAAGTGCAAGTGTAATACCCTATAATGTAGCAAAAGAATGGAACTTATTAAACAAATTGAACAAAGAACAAACTAAAACTGCAAGAGTTCTAGGAGGAATGAACGTAACAAATTATGGTAAAATAAGAGTCAAACTCCAAATAGAAGATCTAATATTCTATATTAAAGTATCAGTAATAGAAGGAGAACAAGCATATATACTCTTAGCAGAAGTAGATCAAGCACGAATGGGAATAAAGAAAAATAGAGAAACCCAAATCATAACAATCAGAGGCACACCAATATCATACCAAGATATAACAACAGATGTGCAAAAAGCGAACCTATCACACCGGTTTTACGACAGGAACCCAGATCGCACCTTGAACCTTACTATAAAAAAGGAGAGATCTCATGGTCAGCACACAAAATCTAATGAAATCACCCAACTTGATACCATAAATCAGCCGAAAATATATTTAGTAAAGAACAAATCATGTGCAGCTAGTTATCTTGCTCGAAAAACTAGTGACCCAGGCAAAAGCGAAAAAAACCTGCCATTGGCGCCCAACGTGGATAGTAAAAATCTATCCCCGAACAACGTGGTAAAAAATAAACTTACCACTTATACCCTAAGCAAAACAAGTCGAACCTCTAACAACCAACTACACGTTAACAACAATATGATATTGGAAAAAACCATTAAACCTAATACCTCAAAGAAGAAGAAAGCAAAACCGCCCTTAAAAAACCTAAACAAGAGTTTTCTAAAGAAAATATAAAACAAAATGAGTCAACTGAAAAATGGGTAGACAAACAATATAACCCAAGGAAATGTCAAAGATTTATAACACATCTCCTACCAGAGTCATTCCCTAAACAAGTTAAGAAGCTTAAAGAACTTGTTAAAGAAAACGAAAATAGAATCAAATTAATTGGAGTAACAACCAATGCTTGTTGGGATGAGATAGTAAAAACTACTATCATAACCCAATCTAACATAGTACAAATATTTTTAAAATATTTGGATTCAGTAAAAGAAGAAACACCTAACGAACAGGAAGATATAAACATAATAGAAGGAAATAAAAACATTAATTTAAAAATGGTTTTACACCACAACATGTGATTATATGTAAATGACAAGCTATTTACATATTATAATAGAAATAAACTGGTAAACTGGAAAATAATAAGAATAATTCAAGAATTAAAACGCACTAATAAAATGAATATACGATGGAGTGTACTACACTTAGGAACAAAAACTGATTGCGATCGAGAAGATATAATAGAAAATATTAATTATATATTAAGGAAAATAGTTGAAAACAATCTAAGGATTGGACTATTATTGGAAAATAGCACAAGTACCAAATGCTATGGATCAACAATGGCTGACCTCATGGATATCCTAAATAGTATAGACCAAAGATTACGGTACAAAGATAAAAATAAAGAAAAAAGAAGAATAGCAATGTGCTTCGACACACAACATTTCTATGCAGCAGGAAATAGAAAACATGTAAATGAATACAAGAATGTACTTTACATATATGGAAAAGAAATACAATTAGTACACATAAACAATAATCCCCAGGAAGCGATATTTGGAATAAGAATGGACAAGCATGCACATATATTAGATCCAAACACAATGATTACACAAGATGTATTTCAGATGATAGCAAAGCACAATGAGGTCTGTGCTATGGTACTAGAAACACCAAACATAGAATTATCAGATCAAATTGCACAAATACATGAAGTAATGAAATTACGAGAATATGCAAATGACGTTATGACAGAAAAAGATCGTAATGTTCAAGAGTGGACTAAAGAAAAGGATGAAGAACAAAGTGAAATCACAGGATCCCAAGGATCAGGGATATACATACCCTTAGGATTTCAATTTGAAGACCCAGACGTATCTGATTTAGCAGATAAACTAGCAAGAACAACCTTTATAGCAAATAATGAACAACCTGCAGATAAAGGACAAAAGAATTTGAATAATAAACACTTAAATCAAATATATAGAGAAGTAGAAGAAACCTTAAATAAGGTATTACCATCAAAAGGAAAAAAGAAGGATGAAGAACCTCCTAAAAATCAACCATGAAAAATGTGTCAGATTATTAAACAAAAGTTAAATAGACTAGATAAAGCTATAGTTGATAGAGAAATAGCTAAAGATACAAAAATTGAACAAATGATTCAAGATCTCAATTGGAGACTAGAACAAATAAATAAAACTTATAGTTATACTCAAGGACTAACTGAAAAAGAAATAAAAGAATACCTTGAATCAATACAAAGAGTAACAAAAATAGAAGATACCAATAAACCTGCAGAAACACGAAGAGAATACTCATCCCTTAAGCTGTAAAGTTCATGTAACAATTTTAGCTTAAAAATAGCATAAATTTAGTTATGATCTATTTTTTTTAATATTTAAAATATTTA